TTAAGGTCAACTACAGGACACCCAAAGAAGGGTTTGGGTTGGTTCAGACACAAATGTTCCATGATAACCTAAATCCTAGCAGACATTTCATTTTAATTAAAATGTTTGTCAACAGTAGTATATAACTTCTACCACTGGATTTTTATAAATCACAAACTGTTACTCTAAGTTGTAATTCCACATTTCAAGTTTGTAACAAGTATTGTAAGAGTTAAGAGAAACTAAAATTGAAATCAAGTATATTTACTTTGCATCTGCTAACTATAACTAATCCTGTAGATGAATATATGATGGTACATCTCAAATGTCTCTCAAGTTGGGAAAACAAAATTAAAAAGCATAAGTCCATACCATATGTATATAAATTTGCATATGCTGTATAAATTTAAAAAATCTACAGACTTGGTAGTTTTCTCTGCCTTGTTATTTAATGACAGAAACAGGACAGGAATCAGAATTCTTCATTGCTAGCCGCATTCAGTTATAATTTTTTGCATTGAATTTAAAAATATCCACATCTTCACAAAATAATATGATTGTTACTTTGGTGACTAACTATTTTATGGTTGCTTTTAAGGAGTTTAAAAGACTTTTAAAAAACTGTTGATAATTTTGGAAGAGGTAATTAAATCTCTTCTAGAAGAATCCATTATGTTTTAAGCTAATACAATACATGAAACAGTATTTGTCATTTGACTTTTCAGAAAGCACTTAAAGATTTAAAGGGAAATTTGAAATTAAATCACCTTAGTAACTATACTTGGAATGGAGAAAAACACCTAACACCAAGAGGTCCACCTTGTGGAAATATATGGTAATTTCAGGCACAAATTTATATACTGGCGGTAAGGCCAACATTTTTAGCTATTTGTCTACAATTCTTTAATAGCAAATTCAAGTCTAGATGTTCAAAATTCTAAATTTACTGTTGAAATTGTGTGTCTCATATACTGCCAGTATCCATTTACTCAGTTCTTTTCCAGAGATGTTTTTCTCAGAATTTTTCCTATGAAAACTGCTCAGATTCATAGAGAACAAAGCATAAAAAATCAATATATGCGAAAGCTTTCAAAAAATGAATTCTTATAAATAAATTACATTTGCTTATTTCTCTGTACATTTGGTGATGTTAGGCATGTACTATATCAGCTTGTATTCAGACAAAAAGCTACTAGTTATCAGTTCCATATCTATGTAAAGCAGAGCAGTATCTTTTATGTAGAGTAAAACAAAAACAACCTTAAGTTAACTTCAACTGTAAGTCTCCTTAAAGATGACAAATTCTAAAACTATTTTTTATGTTGCAAACAAGCTATTACATAATTACTTTCTAAGAGCAAGGCTTTTTTTTTTTTTTTTTTAAGCCCTTTTCAAAGAACCTACACTGAGTACACTGCTATAATTCAGGTACGTACCCTAAAAGACTCATCTATACCAGCAGTACCTTCTCTGCTCCCGACCTAGTCTACTTCCTGGTCAAATGGCGACACTTGGCATGGCACAACAATTGGTCTCAGGAACCAGTTACCATCTTACTCCAGTATTAACATCACAAGTAATGTTAGCTGCTATTATTTCCTGGTAATTATTTTGCTCAAAATTCTACTTTGGTACTTTATAGCCCTTATGATTCTTTATATTCTTATTCAGATTTTTAGGCATAAGAAACGTGTGTGTGTGTGTGTGTAGGTGTGTGTATTTATTGACAGTAACTGTGACTGGGTTAACTGTTAGTAAGGGTTGATGACAGAATGGCTAAAGAATTACCCTCCTGCAACTAGAGTTCCATACCAGGCACTGAGTCTACAGTTGGCAGAATGTGTCACAGTAGACCGCAAATTTAATATAGGATTAAACACTAAATACTACACAGTCTACTATCCATCCATTCAAAAGCATGCTGGCCTTTTAAGTTGGTTGAGCGTCCATGATATCAGGATTTGGTGGTATTTAGATCACTGTAGTAATGAGTATAGAAGTCTTATTTTAGGTTTCTTTCTACCTATACTAATGTAAAATTTTTCCTCTTCCATGTGCTTTTCCATGTGTAATTCTGGAACAGGTAAACCCTCTACAGCTCTATTTGGTTGGGGACAGGCAAATCTATACATGCAAGTGTTAGATTGCAATCCAGGTAAGAAATTAAGTCATTAGTTACAATGCTCAATTTTTAGTATGTTTGAACAGAAAAAAATCAAGAATTTTTAGCTATATTAATTAAAAGTCATTAGCCTCTGTTAATGCAAAACTGATTTAAACCACTGTTTCTGTAAAAATACTAAGATAAACTGAGGACAAGCTTTTATATTACAGAGTTCTGATTTTTAAAATTTTCTCTCTGGACCTGACAGCCTGCAAACCACAGCCTACAGGCCAAATCTGGTAAGTTTTCTTTCTATTTTTTCTTTGAAAACCTAAGAATCATTCTTACCTTCTAGAGCATTTAAAGAGTTACATTTGAAATAGTTATGAGTATCTAACTAATATCCCCAAATTTGCATTTGGGCCCACAAAACCTAAAACATTTACCTCATGGCCCTTTTAGACAAAGTTTTCCAACTTCTTGCTCTAAACTTTAAAAAGCTTTAAATATGTTTAATTTTAGAGATGAATTACATAGAACTCAAACAGCTACACTGTTTTTAATTAAGCTTAAAGTTTTCAAAATCAAATCTATTCCAAATTTCATTCATTATAAATTCATGCTGACAGTAGTTATGCATATAAAATACAAAAATAAGCCCTTATTGGTATTAAAGGTGTTTCTTCAGTGTGACAGTCTACTTCTCCAGATTATTTAAAATTATTGCTTTCACAACATAAGCTAAAAGCATGTTATCTGAAGTTCAAGGTAGTAAAATATATTCGCTCAACTCAAATATATTCCTGAAAAAAGTTGAATTATTTCTTACAGATGTCATTTTATAGTATTTCCATGGGCCTTTTTTTTTTTTTCTTTTTTGAGAGAGAGAGAGAGAAAGGCCTTCCTTCCGTTGGTTCACCCCCAAAATGGCCGCTACGGCTAGCGCGCTGTGCCAATCTGAAGCCAGGAGCCTCCTCCCAGTCTCCTATGCGGGTGCAGGGCCCAAGCACTTGGGCCATCCTCTGCTGCCTTCCCGGGTCACAGCAGAGAGCTGGACTGGAAGAGGAGCAACTGGGACAGAATCCAGCACCCCAACCAGGACTAGAACTGGGGTGCTGGCGCCTCAGGCAGAGGATTAGCCTAGTGAGCCACGGCACCGGCCTCCATGGGCCTTTTTGAAAACTAAATATATGTAGAAAATACATAAAACCATCACAAACACAACATCATGTTATCAGTATAGTCTATGCACGTCTCATTTGCCTACACAATTCCTCCAAGAGGCCAATAATATGGAAGTCATTTCTGGATGACTTTAAAAACATAGCTCATTTTTAAGTACAAGGAAGGGGTAAGGAGCAAATAGGAAGTGAATATATAAAGGTGGTAACTAGATACTTTGATATGTTCTCTTAAAGGTGAATAAGAAATTACATGGGAAGGGTAGTAATTAAGAGAAGAACTTGATGTGATGACCTTATTTCCTTATTTTAATAAGCATGTGCTGTGAGAACCAGGAGTGAAAAATCAAAGACAATGAAATTCAAAGCGCTAGTTGGAGTGACTGAAAAAAAAAAAAGTTTTCTTTTTCCAGAGAAATTTCCTTAACAGGTCACATTTCAGAGTAGTTTAGGGTAATGCTGAGACTATTAGCCGAAAGATAAAGGATTAAGAAAGGGAAGGCAGCTCTACTCTGGAAATGTAGTAAATTCAATTAAACATGACAGAGTAAGGTTTGTTGAGCAATGCTGAGTTCCATTTGAAGTATACGGCCATAAATAGAAAGCTTGATTTTAAGATTTCCTCTAGTGTTCTTCAGTTGGTAGAAGGCTGGCTATGAATTTGTATGTAAGGCTGACAGGAGAGAAAGGATAAGACAAGACTGTTTTCAACTATGGAAACTAGATTGTATAAGAAAAGGACAGCAGACAAGGGTAATAGACCAAAAAAAAAAAAACAAAAACAAAAACAAAACAAAAAACGAGTGAGTAAATAAATGACTTGGTACTACTATAAAAAGCAAGTTGAGGGCCGGCAATGTGGCTCACTAGGCTAATCTTCTGCCTGAGGCGCCAGCACCCCGGGTTCTAGTCCCGGTTGGGGCGCCGGATTCTGTCCCAGTTGCTCCTCTTCCAGTCCAGCTCTCTGCTGTGGCCCAGGAAGGCAGTGGAGGATGGCCCAAGTGTTTGGGCCCTGCACCCGTAAGGGAGACCAGGAGGAAGCTCCTGGCTTTGGATTAGCACAGCGTGCTAGCTGGAGCGGCCATATGGGGGGTGAACCAACGGAAGGAAGACCTTTCTCTCTTTCACTGTCTAACTCTGCCTGTCAAAAAAAAAGTTGGAAAGACATACAGTATGAGGGCATAAGAATGTGTGGATACCGAGATTCTAGCAGCAAAATTATTGGTAATAACAAAGTTACAGTAGAAAGAACAGCAGGAGGAAGCATGAACTTGGGTATATTACACATTCAGTAGAGTGAGGTCGCACACATGATGTATAATTTCAGAGTTATGTAAGTGTGGATGGAGATGAGGTAACTAAAAGCTGTCAGTAATGATGGAATTAGTTCTGAAGTGATGGGGGGAGGGGCTTGGTGTTGCAATTCCTGAACATCATTTGATATTATAGCAGAGCTATTACTCTCTTGAAATAGAAATCCCATTACTATATCAATAAATCTTAACTGATGCTAATGACTGAACAGAACTAAGATCAAAAGGATTTTCTTCTGCTTACCTTGACTAAGAAGCCACTTTAGCGCTATATTTAAGTACTGGCATTATTCAAACACTTTGCTACCATTAAATAGGCAAAAGATGGTAAAGGCCGCTTAGTGTCACATTTCAAGTGTCTGACTACAGAAAGATGTTCCTTGTTCCAGTGTTCATAAAGAGGAAAAATGTTTTAGGAAACAATTTTATGATGATTATTTGACATAAGCATTTATTTCAACCTTAGTATATTTGAAGCAAATCAAGTATACACACATCTTTATAAATTAACAAAATATTTCAATTAATACTAGGAACTTAACAGTCTGCTTGTAAGTTAAGACTTCTACATTGAATTATACAGGCAGCATAGTAACATCCATTTAGCGCTCCCAATACACCGGAGCCACAAATGAGCAAATGTCTGCCACACTGGGCCCAGAGCCCCACCTACCACTCAGGTGAACATTTCAAGTCAGGGATTTCCTCCTTTTCTAATGGTGGCTAAATTTTATTACTTGTATACTCTGAATTATTAAACAAAATTTTAATCCTTTATTATATATGTAGTCCAAAACTATTAATTTTAATGTATTATGTAATTTATTAAATACTCTGAGTATAGTTCATTATATTTGCTTAATACAAATATTACTATAAAAATCAGCCAACTTTTATTTGATTTCTCAAGACATCCTCTGTAAAAAGTAGTATCAAGCATTTAAGTTTGGAAGTTTCTACAAAGGTACATGAGTGAGGTGCGCATTGTTATCTTTGTAGGACTACTCTGTCATTTCCTCAATTATACACAAGAAATAGATAAACATTGGTAACAGATTTCACACGTTAATATTTTTCACGTGCCATGAATAATGACATCAGTCCTCTGCGTACATTAAGAAGCTCCTCTTCTTGCTATGGTCAAAAAAGTTACACAGATTTTATATTACCACTGTAAAACCATGAAAGAAAAAAAATTCATTTTGAAACAACTCCTTTCATAAAAATCTTATGTACCAGTGCTCATTCAACCGTGTCTCCCAGGAAGAATTCTCTGACCATCAGTGATGTTTAAGGGAACAATTGAGACAATGCCTTCAATCTTTTAAGTCAATGAAATGGTAGAATCAAAAGAGCAATGCAAATAAGAGGCTAGAAAACAATTTCAGTAAGGGTCAGCCTTGTCAAACTAGCTCAGCCACAACATGCTATTCCATAGTGTTTCAGCATATTGAGGGCCTATTAATATTTTGTAACAATTATTATATCCTATATACAAAGGTCACTGCTAAAGTGTGCTTAAACACGCTTCCATTTTCTGAGAAAACCTGTTCACTTAGAGCAGCACCTTGAGTACCTCCTGGGATTACTTTTCTCTGTGAATGCAGCTGCTGGTCTTACTGGTTGGCCTGTGGAAGGTCAACTAAATTTTTCTCTAAATCTAAGTAATTAAAGTCTTGTCATCCAAATGGACAATAATTCTTTCACTGAATTATGTGGCCTTTCTTGGTAGCTTTGTCTTGCCCTGCCTTCTGAAGACATTGGCGGCAGTGCATACATAGGGTTTAGATCTAATGCGAAGAATTTCCCATTAAAAGATATAAAAGCATAATTATTCCACTTGAAAAACAGATAGCTGACTTGCCATTTCCTGGAGAAGTCTCCCTTGTACCTCTTTCATGTTTTGTTTCATCAAACCCATCTGTAAATAAATAATTTCCTCCATGAAATTTTCAGTTTTTACAGCAAAAGACAAGCTCGACTAACCAATATGAAATTACCACAAAAGATTACATATAATAGTATAAACTTTATACCTCTGATGTGAAAATAGTTTCTTCATGATCAGTGTGATGAAAGACATTTTTATCCAATGAAGTTTTCAAAAGATGAAATCTAACAAGTAAAATAATGAAAGTTACCTTTGTACTTGTCAGGAATTTAGATTACTATAAAATAGTGTATATATCAAATTGTCAATAAAAAGTTGGTAATTTAAAGATGTAATTTTACAGATTCCAGTCACTAAAAATGTAACACTAACCTCTGCTGTTCACTTTTTTTATATGTTCTGTACTTCTGAAATAACTTTTCCCAAAAGACCTAAATTTTGGGATACAAAAATTAGTTATACTTTAACATGATTAAAAATTAAAATCTGAATGAATATTTCTCTTATTCCAAATTTTAATAAACAGCTTGGCTATATGCTAAGAATATTTGATACCATGCGTTCTTTCAGATAAAAAATTTAATTGTCTGATTTTTCCCTTTTTATAAAAAGATATTCATCATAAAATTGTTTGTAATTTGTGTGTATAGATGAAGCTGACCAAAAGCCTAAGCTGAAACCAAATTATGTTGTAATGAACAAAAGCTTTAGGATGTGTTCTCAGTGAAGAAAGGAAATGAAAGTTTTTCTAAGTGTAGCTCTTTCAAAACTAGATTAACATTAAATTCTTAGAAACACAAACCACATATTCCTTCTCGAAATCTTTTAAAGACTGTGAATCTTTTTCAAAATTCTTCAGCTCTTCTGTGATGATGAATTGGAATTTATCAATTTTTTTAAGCCTATTCAGAAGGAAATAAAAAAAATTAAGACTATGGCATTTAGAACATGTATTCAGGACATACTTATTCACACACACACAACAGTCAGCAATCACAGAACAGGTTGTTATTACAGACCTATGTTCCTGAAGTTGATGGTTGATTGTTTTCAGATGTTGCTGGATGATTTTCCAAGAATGCTTAGCAAAAAATTCCACTGCTCTATTTCGGATCTGAAAAACACTCATTTTAACTTAAAATATCTTTACAATAAATGACCCAACCAAGAATATATCAAGACCAAAGCCTTTCTTGGCCGGCGCCGCGGCTCAATAGGCTAATCCTCTGCCTGCGGCGCCGGATTCTGTCCCGGTTGCCCCTCTTCCAGTCCAGCTCTCCGCTATGGCCCGGGAGTGCAATGGAGGATGGCCCAGGTGCTTGGGCCCTGCACCTGCATGGGAGACCAGGAGGAAGTACCTGGCTCCTGCAACTCGCTGGCCACAGCGGCCATTGGAGGGTGAACCAAAGGCAAAAAAGGAAGACCTTTCTGTCTCTGTTTACTCTGCCTGTCAAAAAAAAAAAATTAGAAAAAAAGCCTTTCCCATGAAAATAGGTAAGTTAAGGACTTAGAAAACTGAAAAATTAAGAACTCAGTTATTTTGACTGAAGTTTTAATAAACTCAGAACAGTGCCTAATTCAATCAGTATGGCTTTGAGGGCTAAGTTGTTGACTGTTTTCATAATACATTCTACAGTATTTACAAAAATGATCATAATTCCATTCAAGGGCACAGTGTAAAAGTCACAAATTTTTTTGGCCATTTTTTCACAAAACAAATTCACATCTAACTACAGATGCTTAATAGGATATATAAATCAGGGCTTCACTATTTAGATTAGGTTGATCTTGGACAAATAAAATAAAAACAATATATGCAACTTTATAATTTCAAATCTTACCCCTAAATAGAAGAAAAACAAAAGCAAGAGATGGAGTTAATAATCTGTGCTGAAAATATTTTATTCAAAGAAGGTTATAAAGGAACTCTCTACTCCAAATAGAAAGATAGGTGGCAAAACATTAAGAATTTAAAATTGTTTTAAAACACATTTTTGCATATGTAATCTCACTGGAGCATGAAAAACTAAAGATACAGAAGTACAGACTGGCATAACAAAGTGAAACAGGACTGCTCTTACTGTAGTTGCTTATCCTTTGTATTTTATTATACTACCATCCTGCACTGTCACCTCTGACACAAAAAATCTTAAAAAGAGTAAGACATGAAGAGAAAATTTTGGGGAAAATAAGAAAAAAAAATCATAGGACCCAAAAGAAAATAAAGAAAAATACAGAATGTGAATACAGATTTTAGAAGTGACAAACTCAGCTGAAAATAATCATTATTCCAATTTTTCACAAAGAAAGTTGAGTGTCTAGATATGTTGCCAGAGGATCTGGCAAGCCAACAGGCTCACAGAAAGTGTGGCAAAATATTTTATTAGGTATAAATCATAATTTAAAAGTGATAACTCACATGAATCTTCTTAGATTCTGAATTCATTTTCCCTATACCTGAAAATTCACCTTCCCAGTTCTCCACAGGAATAAAAAAGTCACTTAGTGATGATGGAGAGACACTTTCAGACCCTAAAAAAAGATTTTCAGCTAAAGTTAAAATATGCTTATTTTAGCCTTGTCATTAGGTTGAGATTATATTTAATCTTATTTTCAGATCCGGATAATCTAAGGATTATGAAATGAAAAGGCAACACTAATTTAAAACTGAAATTATTGTGTGGCATGGCTATTCAGGCAGAAATTCTGACTCTTAACAGAGTACTTTGAGATTATTTTTTAACTGATTGACTACTTCCATGTTACTTGTTAGCATAAGTATCTAGTGACACAAATGCATCAGTAGTTCATACTCCAGTAAAACTTTAATGTAGTATTAAGTTATAGAATGATGACAAATGAGATCTCTGCATATAGAAGACCTTTATTATATCATCCACATAAAGTGAAACTTGTATAAAAAATCATCTGTCTTGTGTTTATTCAAAGTTGTCTTTACAAACAAATTTGTTTTGTGGATGGAGTCATTCAAAATTAAGAAGCCTCCTTCCAAATAATTGCATTTTGACACAGGCTGTTGATCTACCTACTTTTGTAGGGGCGACGATCTGCACTTTCAGTTTTACACAATTTCTTGGGAAGCAAGTTTACTCTTTTTTCTTCTTCCATTTCTACTTCATTGGAGTTACTTAGATTATCTCCTATGTACATTCGTTTGCGACTAAGATGTTGAACGGGGCCTTAGGAAGAGTTAAAAAACATAATAATGGATGTTTTGAATAAAAATTACAGCAATTTTTAGTTTATTATAAGTATTTTGGGGGCTGGTACTGTGGAGCAGTGGGTTAAGCCACCATCTGCAGTACCAGAATCTCATGGGGCATGGGTTCAAGTCCTGGCTGCTCCACTTCCAATCCAGCTTCCTGCTACTGTGCCTGGGAAAGCAGTGGAAGGATGGCCCAAGTGTTTGGGCCCTGCCACCCACCCACATGGGAGATCTGGAAGAAGCTCCTGGCTTCAGCCTGGCCCAAACCCTGGCTGTTGCGGTCATTTGGGAAGTAAAACAGAGGATCGAAGATCTGTCTCTGTAACTGTGCCTTCTAGATAAAATAAAAAACCTTTTATCGATGAACTTTTTTAGGTAACTATGTTAAATTCTGCTTAGTCTTCTTTTTGACATAACATTGCATAATAATGGTATGACTTCAAATACAGAATTCCTTTAGATGAAATTTTTTTTTTTTAAAGCAAGCCTATGACTACAAACCTGATACATGAGTAGTGCCACTGGGCATGTCAAACAATGTTTTCTCTCTTTCTTCATTAGACATGGATGTTGGAGATGATACATGGCTTTCCTAAAAACACATTTAAGAAATTAGATTAAAAAATACTGTAAGTACTCTTAGATTCACCTTTGGCTATCTTTCTCAAACCCTAGAGATGGTAAATTTTGAATGTCATTTTTTTTTTCAGTTTTGTTTCTATTCCTTCCTTTTCATCTGTAACATATGGCCTAATAGAATTTAATAAAATCTAGATAACAGTAATTTCAGGATAGATTTTTGAACTATTTCCACTTTTCAGCTTCTCCTTATATAGCTTTTCATGTCTTTGAGGCCATGAAAAGGAGCCATAGAAAATTAGAGTTTATATTCTGAATACATCTTTGTTCCATTTTGCCTTTTAGTAACTTTTACTTAGATTACCTCTCTTTCATACGCTTAAATCTAGCTCAAATCCCAGTATTCTCCAAGCTGTAAAATTCTGTCTTGATACTCTGTAGTTTTCAGTTTATTCTTATTTTTATTAGCAGACCAATGGGTTTTCATAATGGCAAAAAATTCGAAATTTTATAGGGATCAAATGAAACCAGAAGATGCCACAGCCCTTACTGGAATGCTTGGGGTTTGAGTCTCCTCTCTGCTCCCTGTTTCAAGCTTTTCTGCTAATGTATACCCTGGGAGGCAGCAGGTGATGGTCAAGTAGCTAGGTCAGTGTGATCCTCATGGAAGACCTGGAAGGAGGTCCTGGCTTTGGCATGGCCCAACCCTAGCCGTTGCAGACATTTGGAGAATGAATCAGTGGATGGGAGACTCATTCTCTCTCCCTGCCTTTCAAATAAAATTTTAAAAATCATGAAACCAGAAAGTCCTAATTATGATTATAAATACATTAAGTCTGGGGTGCAAGAACTATATCATCACTATTCTAATTTTTAAAGTTTTAGTTTTTTTGGTATGATGCTAGTCTATGTACTTCAGATGATAAAAACTGAAAAGTCTTGAAATATTACAGCTACTACTAAAGACCACTAACCTGAGTAATCTGATTTTTTTTTTTTTTTTTTTGACAGGCAGAGTGCACAGTGAGAGAGAGAGAGAGAAAGGTCTTCCTTTGCCGTTGGTTCACCCTCCAATGGCCACCGCGCTGCTGCCGGGACAACGCGCTGATCCGGAGCCAGGTGCTTCTCCTGGTCTCCCATGGGGTGCAGGGCCCAAGCACTTGGGCCATCCTCCACTGTACTCCCGGGCCACAGCAGAGAGCTGGCCTGGAAGAGGCGCAACCGGGGCAGAATCCGGTGCCCCGACCGGGACTAGAACCCGGGGTGCCGGTGCCACAGGCGGAGGATTAGCCTAGTGAGCCATGGCGCCGGCCAGTAATTTGATTCTTAAGAACCATCATAGTTTAAGAAAATTTGAAAGCTGTACTATATTACCTCTCTTGCTTTGTACATGATTTTCACTGATATTTGGAGATTCAATTTCCATAAACTGTTTTTCTGAACTATAACTGCGTATATCTGAATATCTGTAACCACTCTGTATTTCTTGTGAATAGAAAAAATACAAATTCCCTGGTACTTTCACAACAGTATTCTTAGTTGGAGTATGCCTGGGCTATGAATGAAGACATAGAATCTCAAAGAAGTTAGACAACTTTTTAAATCCAAAAAAGGATATATATAACAAGAAACATAAACCAAACTACTTAGATGTTGAGGGAATCAGTAACTCACTACTAAAATTCAACATTCATTCACAATTTTTACAAAGCACTTAGAAAAGAACACTATAGATAAGGATGCCTGATATTATAGTTTCCATGCTCCAGAGGTCAAAGTCACCTTTACAAGAAAAAGAACAATTGAATTTCAGGGATTGGAAGAGAAAATGCAAAAATTATCATGAGTAACAGATATGAGATGGCTTATATAGAAAATCCAGAAGACTCTTCACAAAAACTTACGGAATTTAGCAATCTTACTGGATATAAAAGTCAGTAATTTTTCTATACAAAATAAAAAAACAGAAAATAAATTTTTAAAAAGTATTTTGGGTTTTTTAAAATAAAATGGAAAGAAAACTCATAAGAGATTTAGGAATTAATATAGTAAGGAAGATTTGGCAAAACTTTGAAGGAAGTAAGACTAAAAAAAGGAGAGAAAAATGATGTGTGGATGAAAAAGGTCAATACTAATATTGAGAAATAGCAGTATTCCATTAGACAAATTCTAAAATTTAAAGGAATGAGTAATGGCCAAGAGAACTGAGGTAAAAGAATGGGGCATATGTATGTGAAATACATGATAAATGTGAAACTACAATAATGAAAGCCAGTGTGGGATTACACTATTTTACTGGCCTGTTTATGTTTGTGTTAAAGTAGGCAGACTCATGTGATCATCAAGGCTAAGGCTGAATTAGCAGTATTCTATTCATGATGTTGCACTAATTCTCCATCCATATACAAAAAGTCCAGAAAAACTGAAAAATCAAAAACTAAACATTTTTACAAGGAAGATGTTTATGTTGAGTGACCCAAAAGATTATTAAATTTTATTATGATATCATTTGATGTAAGGAAATTTTGGATTTAACTAAGATACATATTAGAAAATAATATTTGCATTATTTGTAACCAATAGTTAGATATCCAGAAGAATTCCTACAAATTTATAAGAAAAATCAAATGCAACTGAAAATTAGAAAACATTAACTGACAATTAACAAAATGGCCAAAATACATAAAGTATTCAATGATGCAGTTAATCAGCAAAATGCAAATTAAAGTAAAACATAACTTCACATTTGTTGAATGTAAGCTTGTACAACTACCTTATAAAGAAAAATTCAACACCTCAGTCAGAGTGAACAGTAAATAGGGAGGAGAACAATGCACAAATTACAAGTAAAATTCTATCTAGCCCAGAGTAGCATCAGTGAAGGTGGAGTTTACCTAGGTTCAGAGATTTGCCAAGTGGGGTACTGAAGGGACTGAAAGATTCAGGGAACAACTGGCGTTGTTAAAGCCCCAGCCTCTCCCCACCCCCCTCACCTCCCTCACCCCCCTGCTTTCTCTGCTGCTCCACTGCTAATCCAGCTACCTGCTAACAAGCTCGGGAATAGCAGAAGATGGCCCAAGTGTTTAGGCTCCTGCCACCCACTTGGGAGACCCAGATTGGAGCACCTGGCTCAGCACTGGGCATTGCGGCCATCTGGGGAGTGAACCAGCAGATGGAAGCTGTCTCCCCCCCATAATTGACTTTCACAATAAAATAAACAAAGATTCAGGGAAACTAAGGATAATACAGCACACTGACAAAGGAGCACAGGATGTAGTTTAGTGGAAACTAGTTTTCCAATTATGGTCTGTAGAGACTAGAAATGCAGCCTTGCCTTTGCCTAGGCAAGTGTTTAGACCTCCTATCTCTATTTTAAAGACAGCATAGTTCCTCTTTGACCTAACTTACTGAGAGTTTCCTGTAAGATTTTGTTTCAAAAATATTCTGTGAAGACTACTAGCTTAAAGGAATAAAAGGACATTAAAATTCTCTAGAAATACAGAGTCTTCAAAAACTTCATGGAAAATGTGTATTATGAAAACTATGGATTCTAAAAATTATTTGCACCAAAGTCAACCTCTTTTAATTTTTCCATGAACTTTTTGAAGTAACCTCATGAAAGGGCACATTCAGTTCAAAGTGGTAGAACAGGAGGTTGGCTATTTTATATCTCTATCAGTTTATAATAACAATCATTAGTTCTATCTTTGTATATGCAAAGGTTATCATATCAAAAGAAAATATTTGATGATTTACTATATATCAGATACTATATTTTTCATTGCCCCATTTTACATGAGTACACCAAACTGCAAAAAGCAAATAGTGGAGCCAGCATTTAAATCCAATTTTGTCTGACTCAACACTCAGACTCCTTCAGTTACAGTACACTATATGAATGTATTTGTCAGTTCTGCAACTTTGTCACTACTTCAAAATTGTCCAAATAAGCCATATTTACAATTCAACCAAGAATGAGGTGAACGTTAGTTGGAGGGTTTGTGAACTGGCACAAAACTATCCAACTTTTCTAAGAAGCAGAAAGCAGAACTCAAAATACAAGACTACTCTTAATAAAAACAAATATTTTAACTACCTGCTCACTCATGTTATATCCTAATTGAGTCCTATACTCAATGTCATTCTTTCAGGACTTTCAAACATACCTACATATTAAAAAGAAATGCCTGGGCCGGCCCTGTGGCATAGAGGGTGAAAACTGTTTTCAACTATGTTCTTTTCAGTGTGCTTCGTCAACATGTGATTTTAGTAATTAAAGATTACAGACTTTGAATTATGGTGGAATTGCAAGGAAATTGCAAGGAAATGCCTACATTGCAGGAATAAAGCTAGACACATTTAAGAAATGTATGTCGTTTTGATGAGTAAACAGACATTACTCATTTGGAAGAGATCATTCCTGTAACAAAACTTTGTCATCTCTATGTTTTCATGTTAATATGATATTAATACAAAAGGATTCAATGTAGTTCATAGATACAATTCTAAGAATATAATGCACAATGTGTTGTCATGCCATAATATTCTTCCTCCTGTATACCTATACAGGTGTCCATTAGGTCCATTGAGGCTAGGAACTGTATTTTGTCTCCCTTCCCAACTTAAAAGACCAAATCCAAAACTTTAAGTAGACTAGCAATGTGTATTTAATATTAAAGGCTAAGGAGTTACCACCTTCCGATATAGCTAGTAAAGAAAAAACATATGTATATATATTTATACACAGAAACATTCTTACCAAAAACAGTGGTTGTGGAACTGGTGAGCAGCTTTGATTTGCACATAAATTTTTTTCATTGTTTTTAGCTGAGTTTACAGGACCTCCAACTCCACTGTTACTGTTTAAGGATTCAGATGAAGTTTTTGGATAAGGTGATATAGAGTTTGTTACATAGTCATAATCCTGAGTAAAATCCCTTTCTGTTCCTTTCTCTATACCTATATTGCCCCATAAAACACAAATAAGAAAACAGATGTCAAGTGTTATAATTGACGTCTGCTTAGAAATAGCAAGATCTAAAAAAAGTTTATCAAATTCTCAAATATTGGCTAAATTTTAAAAAGGAAAGCTTTCAATATATTAAGACCAGACTACGTTGAAGATATTTTATGACTTTGAAAGATGAATTTAAAATGTACCTGTAAGAACTTATGAAACATTTTCAAGTAAAAATATCTACAGTATAATATGAACTATATAATGGTCAACATAAGTATTATCTTGAAATTAAAGTCAATTATGTTATATATTGAAGTCCTAGATTTTACGATTGGCAAAGGGTCTGGAAATCATGTGGTCTAAGTCCCTCATATAAAAATGAGGAAATTCATTGCTGAAATAAGACTCATAAGTGAATCTCAGAATTTTCAGACAAAATTCAGGGCATGTACATCTTTCTTCTGATTATGTGCTTATCTGAAGTGACACTGGACTGAGCATCAGGAAAATAAATTTAAAGGAAATATCTGTAAGTTAACTGATTTAAGTCTTAAATTTTAACTGAGATCACTAAAATTTAGAAATGCTTTAAAATATCCTTCCAAGGAACTGAAAATGATATAGAAGTACAAGCTTGTTCTTAGTTTCTATACCAGAAAGATACATATAAGTCAGAGTTCCCCCCAAAAATGTGATTTTTACTTTACCAATTTATTTTTAAATAAAAGCAAAACCTCTACTGTTTATTAAGGATAATCCCCTGTGGGTCCACAGAATGATCTTTATGTTCAACATACTCATCAGTGATTTATAAAAAGGAAAAAAAATGGGAATCTCCATAATTATTAGGTTATCAAATGTATTTAAGCCAAATTAACAATCAAGTTACTAGCAGTAACTACTGTAAAAATAAAGTTTCAGGGGCAGTCATTTAGCCTGGTTGGTTAAGATATCCACATCCCATATTGTAGTGTCTAGGTTTTAGTCCTGGGTCTGGCTCCCAAGTCCAGCTCCCTGCTTAAGACGACCCTGGGCGACAGTGATGATGGCTCAAATAATTGGGTTCCCACTAACTGGGAGACATGGATCGAGTTCTTGACTCTTGGTCATGCTGGCATCTGGGGAGTAAACTAGCAGATGGGAGCTTTCTCTGTCTCTAATAAAAAAGAAATAAAAATGAATTTCATCCATCTTAAAATATACCCCCTCAAAATTAGTCTTCAGATTCTATTTTCATATAACTATAGAAAATTGTTACTCAGGGAAAATGAAATCATACTGACATCTCATTACTTCTATGGATGATGGACTCCCAGATAAAGACACAGGAGGTAAGGCAGGGCTACTGTCTCCTAGAGGAGGTTTAAGCCAAGACGAGTTGTTCCATCCTTTTGACAGTTCCTTGTGTGTTTCAGCACAGGAGACTTTCTGTCGTTTCTTTGGCACCTTCCTGGTTTTGAGTCTGGAATGGATATTCTCCTCCTAAATGAATCAATAACTTTTAAATTACACTTGAATAAAAATATTCATACTTGGATAGCAAGGGCCTATAAGTAAATGAAAGATTTTTCCCATACAATAGAAGGCATAAGACAAATTCACCATATAATAGACTAGTAAGTTATAAAAAATAAAGAGAATACATAAAGGTTCAAAGAATATGATTGTATCTCCTTTGGGAAAACCAGAAAGAATTCCTAGATTTCAAGGAACTTCAGATACTCAGGAGTTTGTGAAGAAGGTGGTGAGAAGAGAGACTGGACGAGGAAGACTGCTGACATCAGCGAAGGAAGTTGAGACGCACAGGTCTTATCTGGATAGTCACAGATCACTATCTGTCTGGCTACATACTGGGAAGAGTTATAATCTTGGAGAAACATTTTGATGCTCTCAATGTCAGAGTAGAAATATTTTTTAGGTTTTGATTGATGAAGGAGGCATGAGAGGTGGCTTGGAAAGACTAATCTGATGATATGTATGGCAAATTAAATAAGAAATGACAGAAAATGTGAAGATCAGTTATAAAGCCCTTTTAGTCTCCAGGTAAGAGATAACAAAGTTACAAACAAGGAGAAAAGAGAGTTTAAGGACTTTAGAAGTCAGCACAGTGGGGCAAGCATTGTGGTTCCGCAAGTTAAGCCACTGCCTGTGATGTCAGCATCCCATGAGTACTGATTCCAGTCTCAGATGGTCCACTTCTGATCGCGCTCCCTGCTGGTGCACCTGGGAAAGTAATTAAAGATGGCCCAAATACTTGGGACTCTGCCACCCAGGTAGGAAACCAGGATGGAGTTTCAGGCTTCTGGCTTCTGCCTGGTCCAGCCCCAGCTATTGTGGCCATTTGGGGAGTGAACCGGCAGATGGAAGCTACCTCTGTCTATTACACTATGCTGATTTTTTTTTTTTTTTAAGAATTATTTTTACTTATTTGAGAGACAGAGAACTCTCTTTAGCACCAGATTCTCTGGGTCCAAATCCTAGCTCAATCATATTTCCTACCTGTGTGACCTTGGGCAAATTCATCTTCTCTTAAGCTTCAATTTTCTCATTTGTAAAATGGGATGACAATAACACTAGTTACACCTAATATTACTTATACATTTAACTTCCTAAAAATCTCAGTGAGTGCTTCACATAGGAGCTGACACATTGTTAAGTGCTATGTGTGTGTTGCAAATTCTATAAACATTATTTTAAAAGGCTTTTAAACACAAGTAGCGGGAAATCTGTAACACTAGGAGATACAGGAGAAGTCAGGGATGGGCACACGTTGGGCAGCATGTGGGAAGAAACTCAGACAATTTTTGTTCAAGAGGAAGAGTCACACTTTCCAGCAGGCTGTATTTCACTGAAGCATAATTTTAAAAAGATCATGCACTTTTAAGATAGTATCTTTGAAATAGTAAAGTTACAATTTTGCTAGAGTAATATGTCTGTTTATAACACTAATGTCAAATTATTACAAAGTTTAGCAATACACTGCCTGAAAACCAAATTTTCTAAAGACAATCTTAAAAAGGTACAATATAAATTTGACATTTTTACAAAAACACACATATGTAAGACTCTTAGGAATTATTAATCTGAATTCTATTTACCTTTACTAGTAATTTTTCTTTACATGAATGTGAAGATTCTTGTTCACTCTCTGATTCTGAATTTGAGAGGTCTTTATAATTTTTTTTGGTTTTTGTTGCTCTTCGTGGAAGTCTGGTTCTCCGATCTGGAACTGTTACATCTACCTTTTTGGTGATGTTTTTACTGTGTTCCTTTAGAAGAAAAATTCGTGATTATTAGTATTATTGTATACTCATTTATATAGTAATATATAACTATAATATAAAGAAATATAAACTATTATAAATTTGTCATGGTGACAATATACACACAATATATTTTAGGAATATAAAATATAAAAATATAAAAAGAAAAGATTGGATTTTTATCTTCCCATTCTACTTGTCTTTGCCACTTTTTTATCCCTATCATTAAACCTAGAGGCCTGATATATATATATATGTATATAACTTAAATAAAAGGAAAATCAAAATATCTAGAATTAGAGTAAACCAGATTCAAAACAAAGCCAACATGTTTCAAAACAACAGAAGAGAACATGTGCAAAGGCAGTAACAATTATGGAAAAGAAGTAACTGATAAGGACATTAAAATTATGAGAATTATTTTTACATGACAAGAAAAAATTCTAAAGAATGCATGAACACAAACTTGTTTACCATTTTAGATCGTGACTGTCCCTTATCCAAGGATGGTCCTGCAATTGGAAAATATGGCTAGATTTTTCAGAGACAAGAGCTAGCATTAAATTTCAGAACATTTCTACACATATCAATTTAAAATAATAAAAATCACAAAATACACATTTTGGAAAAGCATTTGTTAGCACTTAATGAACCTCCCTTTATATGGCTTTAAGCCACAAGGATACAGACATCCCTTACATCCTAATCGATGACAGAATGCTTTGAGCACTTGTACTTCCTCAAACTTCATAGTAACCTGATTATACCACATCATTTATGGGAAAGACACATTTTAAATTCATCTGTAACGTTTCAAGAATTGCTAACTTTTACTGTATAGTGTTTGATATATGAATTGCCAATTTCCTTTCTTTTATAAAACTTTTTAAGCATAAAATATTTATGACCTTTAATACCACTCAGTTTAAGAACTAGTTCATGAATAACTTTATATATACGTGTGTGTGTGTGTATATGTGTATACTCTTGATCTCCATATTCCTCCACACTATTCCTGATGAAAGGCAATAACTATCCTGAATCTGTTTTATTCATGTGCTTTTTAAAAAGTTGTATTTCAAAGTTTTACCTCTCTAAATATAATGAACTTTATAAAATGTACCATGTAATAGTTATGATTTGCTTTTCCCACACATCATTGTATTTCTAAGATTTATCTGCCCTCTTGATAAAAGAAAAAGGAACAGGACTAAAGCTATTAAGAACATCATCATTCTCAATATTCTCTCAAGCCATAGAAATGAGATTATCTAAGCCAAGAAAGCAAAGCATTTCTGGAATAAAGGCCCTATAATCCTGGCAATAAGCCAGCTCTTATTTTTTTTAAAAAAGATTTATTTGAAAGGCAGCGTTACTGAGGGGCAGAGAGAGTGAGATCTTCCTTCTGCTGGTTCCCCAGGCAGCTGCAACAGCTGCAGCTATGCCGATCCGAAGCCAGGAGCTTCTTCCAGGTCTCCTATGTGCGTTCAGGGACCCAACCACTTGGGCCATCTTCCACTGCTTTTCCAGACCATAGCAGAGATCTGGATTGGAAGTGGAGCAGCCAGGATTTGAACCGATACCCACATGGGCTGCTACTGCTATGCCAGAGTGCTGGCCCCCAGCTCATACAAATTAACAACTTTTAAACACATCCATTTAAATAATTTACACAGAAGTTCAATTTTGTAAGTACTTACTGATTATACTATTCTGACCTCTGCCTGAGCTCTCTCATCTGCTTAGTACTATGCATGTCTTTACTTACACATCTTTGCACTAGGCTGTAAGCTCCCCAGCAACATGTGAATCTTCTATTTTTCCCTGACTTACAATACAGTTTCAAAATCTAGACTCCATGATCAAATCCAGCCTTCACCTTTCACTATTTTTCCACAAATAAAAACTATGTTCCAGGGCTGGTGCTGTGGTGTAGTAGGCTAAGCCGGCATCCCGTAGGGGTGCTAGTTCAAGTCCAAGCTGCTCCTCTTCCCATCCAGCTCTCTGCTAATGGCCTGGGTAAGAAGTGGGAGATGGTCCAAGTGTTTGAGCCCCTGCACCCATGTGAGAGACTAGGAAGAAGCTCCTGGCTTCACATAAGCCCAGCTACAGCCGTTGCTGCTATTTAGGGAGTAAGTCAGTGGACGGAAGACCTTTCTCTGTCTCACCTTCTGTAATTCTACCTCTCAAATAAATAAAATCTAAAAAAGAAAAAAGTTCCAACCACCCCAACACTGTACTGCATTCCCTGAATCCCACTATGTTATTTTATATTTCTGTCTCTTTAATATATGATATTCCTACTGCTTTTTTTCTCATGCATCTGGTTCTGGAATCACCTGTTTTCAAGATTCAGTCTCATTTTTAAACACTGGCCAACATTCACTTCTATCTCTACTTTTACTTATTTTAAACCAAACCACCGTCCCACCCATACTACACAAGTCACGACTGGTTTTTATCATGAAATAAAAACGGATTTCCTTAAAACAAACTTTAACCTAATTGAAAAGCATAGAACTGTCTTGAGTCTTCTTCTAAGAATGGAATATATAAAATATTTGTTTTATCAAACATTAAAATTGATGTTCATCTATGAAAAATAGTGATTAAAACTTACACCTGAAACTCTTACCCAATTACAAGTGATTCACTTAAAAGATATTTATTTATTTATTTGAAAGTTATAGAGAAGGAAAAACACAGAGGGAGATCTTCCATCTGCTGGTTTACTCCCCAGATGGCAGATGACCAAAATGGCCAGGGCTGAAGCCAGGAGCTTCTTCTGGGTCTCCTACATCTGCTGCTTTTCCCAGGGTATCAGCAGTGAGCTGGCTGGAAAGTGGAGCAGCTGAGACATTAACTGGAATCCAAATGGTATGCCAGCATCGCGGCTAGCAGCGTTACCCACTGTGCCACAACACCAGCCCCCAGATGATTCACTTTCACAAAGAGCAGAAACCACTTTCTAGGAAAACACTTCATGGAACACTAAGGCAAAAAAAAAAAAAAAAAAATCCACCAAGGAAATTGCTTTCCTTTTGATATACTGTTATTGCATCTATGAATTCCTAGAAGTACATGTGTGTCTTAGATGCAGCAGGCACATAAAATATTGAGAAGTGGAAGTGTGTGTGTGTGTGTGTGTGAACAGATGTAGGTTAGTGTTGAGGTCCAGACGTTGGTTTTGTTTAAGGGTGTGGATTCATGAGCATTTAGTACATTATTCACATTAACGAGCTAAATAATTGAATAAGTGGCCGGTGAATATACAAGTGATGAGAATACACCGTGAATCAATGGTGATAAATCACATTTTCTATCCTTAATGTCCTAAAGAAAAGTAATTCAAATTATGAGTATAATCTTATTACTAAAGTAATAAAAAGGTAACCACTGTTTTGTCCTATTCATAAGAGTATGCTGTTTAACAGTCTATGTGCAAAAATGCACTTACCAACCAATAAAACAGTTCATATATAATTGAAATGGCAAAATCATTTCCAACATTCCTCTAAAAAGTAATTTCTTACTTGATTTCTGACTCTTCTTCACATTTTTATTTCTGCTATAGTCTATTAGCTGTGGTTTTGATTTTGGTTCTCTTAGCCAGCTAACATCAGTCTTGCTGTCATCCCATCTGCATTCTGTCTCAGTATCACTAAAGAGATTTTTCTTTTCTTGATTTATTATAACCTTTTTTATAAAGAAAAAAGATCCTTGAAATAAATGAAGACGTGTATATGTCTTATATGTCATATAAGGTAAGCTAAGCCAAAACATACCCCAAAATTCAAAAACTAACTTCTCATTTAGCATACCACAGAGCATTAAATCAGGCAATGAGGTTTGCATTTTGGTGTTGGTATTGTTAATTAAAAGTTAAGTCAAAAGATCTTACTTCTAGATGTAACAATACTGTGAAATAAAATAATTATTAATGATGACAATAGGGATTACATAAGAACATGGGTGATCTCTGAGGAATAAAGTTTTAAACAACTTGTTTCCATTCCTTGAGAATATTGGGTTTTTAAAATTAATAAATACTGTGTTATATACATTAGGGCATTATAACTTACTCTTTTATCTCTTGTTTTGAGAGAAGGTTCAAGTTCATCATCATTCCTTAAACCTACCCTTAAAACAAAAATATATATAATTTTAAAATATCATTCCATGTTTATTTTCTTATGGCAGCATGCATTGGACAACTAAATCTGAGTTTTCAGTCTTTCACTAATTAGCCATGTAATTCTGTCCAGGTCATATAATTAACTGAGGTCAGAAGATTAGAACAACATGGTTAGATTAAAAGATTACTAAATGTTTTGGGTTTTATGGATATAACTAACATCCAAAGTGCAGAGAATTTGCATATTAATTTTAAAAGTAAATGCTGAAGTGACAAAATCATAATGGGAGTGACTGTGACTAACATTTTTATTCCTTCTTATACGTTAAAACTCTTATAAAAAATAGACTAAGACAATAAAAAGAAAACATGAACATGTATATTTAATTTAACCTATCCAAATCATAAAAACACCTACAGTTTTGTTGAATTATCCACACATGTTTCTCGAGCTTGAAATTCTTGGATCTACATTGAGAATGAGCATTCAAAATAAAAAGAACAAAAAGCTTTTAGTGCCAAAATAAGGTCAATAAAAAGAAACATAAAATCTACTTTTGTATTACTTAAAAGAATCCTACAACTTTATAGCATTATGTACTTTTAAGAATATAGGCCGGCACCGCGGCTCAATAGGCTAATCCTCCACCTTGCGGCGCTGGCACACCGGGTTCTAGTCCCGGTTGGGGCGCCGGATTCTGTCCCGGTTGCCCCTCTTCCAGGCCAGCCCTCTGCTGTGGCCAGGGAGTGCAGTGGAGGATGGCCCAAGTGCTTGGGCCCTGCACCCCATGGGAGACCAGGAGAAGCACCTGGCTCCTGCCTTCGGATCAGTGCGGTGCGCTGGCTGCAGCGCGCCAGCCGTGGCGACCATTGGAGGGTGAACCAACGGCAAAAGGAAGACCTTTCTCTCTGTCTCTCTATCTACTCTGCCGGTCCAAAAAAAAAAATATATATATATATATATATATAAAATATACTGAAAACAAAGTAAATCAGATTATGTGTTTTAAATTTATTGTGTCAATAAAGAAAGTTGTTTTCTTAATAGTCGTAAGTCCTCCTACCCCTCCTCTCACAAGTTACTTTTTCTCTCTTAGTCCAAGAAAGAGAAAGAAGTGGATAAGGGAGGGGAAAAAGGAAGAGAGGGAAGAAGAAACCTTGATGAACCTTGGCTGGTTATCAAAATAGATTATGTTTTTAAAATTTTAAAGTACATCTAAAAGGGGATGCAAATAAAAAAATATACAACCTAATTCCTGCATTAAATATAAAATACTGAATAATTAAATTTGAATTAAATTGATTTATAGCTTACTCCAAGTTTTATAATAGGCTCATCAGCTCCATTCAAATTAAAATTGTAAACATCATTCCTGTGAAAGTTAAAACAACTATTAGCTCCAATATAGAATGTTAATCTTTTCAAATATGAATAAAAATACTAATGAAAAGTTACTTACAATGGGCATTCAGAAGAAACATTAACAAAAGTAGTCTTCAGTTTTCTGTAACTTTTTTTCTGAACCTTTTCCTAAACAAAAGATGTTTACATAACTTTAAACTATGTGTAAATAACAAATGCAGTTTATATGCATTTTCCAGCTATTCTTCCACTAATATAAATCTAGCACCTGTAACATTTTCTTTGATGTAAATTAAATGAAAATACACCCAAAAGAAATCACTATCTTATAAAGATATCTATACTCCATGTTCATTGTATCGTTACTCCCATAACTAAGATGACCTAAATATCTGTGGATGAATAAGCAAATTCTGATAGATATACATACAGTGTAATATTCAGCCTCAAAAATGGAAAGCGGTTACTGCCATGCTCGATTATAGTAACCATTTCATTTTTGTATATCATCATGCTATATACCTTAAATACAAGTATATACAATAGGAGCCAGCGCTGTGGCATAGTGGGTAAAGCCGCTGCCAGCAGTGCTGGAATCCCATATGGGTGCTGGTTCAAGTCCCATCTGCTCCACTTCCAGTCCAACTCTCTGATAATGGCCCGGGAAGCATTAGATGGCCCAAGTCCTTGGGCCCTTACACCCGCCTGGGAGACCCAGAAGCTCCTGGCTCCTGGCTTCGGATCAGTGCATCTCCAACTGTTGTGGCCAACTGGAGAGTGAACCAGCAGATGGAAGACCTCTCTCTCTGCCTCTCCTTCTCTGTGTAACTTTCAAGTAAAATAAAATAAATCTTTTAAAAAAATACTTATGAGTTAAATACATGTGCTAACTAAAAATACTGTAAATCTTAGAATGTTGATATCCTTAATAAATTGACATTGATATAGAGATATAGATATAGATAAATGACCTCTTACTAGTATTCTATAAAAGCTGAATTTTTGTTATACTAGAATCACAAAAAGTATGCTTCCTACTTTTATTTGGACTTCCATTTGCTTTAGACTTTTTTTTTAAAAGATTTAATTTGAAAGGCAGAAATAGTGAATGAGAGAAGAGACAGAGATCTTCCATCTGCTGGGTCACTTCCCAAATGGCCACAATGGCCAAGGCTGGGCCAAGCCAAAGCCAGGAGCTTCTTCCAGATCTTCCAAGCAGGTGCAGTAGGCCAAACACTTGGGCCATCCTCGGCTACCTTCCCAGGCATACTAGCAGGGAGTTAGATCGCTGGATCAGAAATGGAGCAGCCGGGTCTCAAACTAGTGCCCAAATGGGATACCTGTGCCATCAACAGCAGCCCTACCTGCTAGGCCACAGTGCCAGTCCCTGCTCTAGGCTCTTAAATAGAAGACTTTCGAGAAGCCAAGGCTTACGTAAAAAATTTATGGGAAAGAATAAAAAATGTATCAAAAACAAAATTAAGCTTCTTCATGTTCCTGACAATTGAAATATATGCAACCTGATCAAAAACACTGATGCTAGAAAAGTTAAATATTTAATGTTTTATTAAATTTAAATGATTCTTTATTCAATAACACTAATTACTGATAAAAATAATCAGATTAATTTAATACCTAGTAAGCCAGAAAAAGTATAATTTAAAATTTTAACTTTGATTTTATTTAATTTTTTGTGCTTTTATATTATTCTAAAAAAAGTTTCTCTCAATATAGTATTACTCCTTGATCACTTATCTGACACATCTTTTCCAGTATGATTTTGCCAGTGTATGCTACATGGTACAGAATAAAAAAAAAAAAATGAGCAGCAATGTTAAAGAAGATATGCAAATGAAAGTAAAGGTATTATAAAACAAAGATGAGTAAAAATGTTATAGAAGATACAAAGATGATTCAAACAAGTTTATACTGTAGAAAAAAAGAGCAAAAAACCTGCAATAATGAATACCACAAAAAGGTAAAAAAATATTGTACAGATGCAGTACTTGCCTATTGGGTTTTCTAACTCGGGGTACTTTGAAAAATTTTCATAACGAAAAAAGACTGAAACAAGGGTTGTAAAGAGGAATAAGGTTATGCTTATCAGAAAAGAAGGTGGGGAGCTGGCGCTGTGGTGTAGTGGGCAAAGCCGCAGCCAGCAGTGCCAGCATCCCATATGTGTGCTGGTTCAAGTCCCAGCTGCACCACTTCTGATCCAGCTCTCTGCTGTGGCCTGGGATAGCAGTAGAAGATGGCCCAAGTCCTTGGGCCCCTGCACCTGTGTGGGAAACCTGGAAGTAGCTCCTGGTTCCTGGCTTTGGACTGACGCAGCTCTGGCCATTGCAGCCAACTGGGGAGTGAGCCAGCCGATGGAAGACCTCTTTCTCTCTGCCTCTAACTCTGCCTTTCAAATAAATAAATATTAGAAAGAAAAGGCAGGAGAGCTTGTAAAATCAGTTCAAAGTTCTTTTGAGAGAGAGAGAGAGAGAGAGAGAGAAAGAGAAAGAGAATTAGGAAAGTATTAGGGAAGACAATTTATGGAACTTCAAGTTACCATGTTTCCATTAAATGAGACTTATCTAGAAAACTAATATTAAAATATAAGTCTTTTAAAGGGACTTGTGAGCCAATCTATGTCTCCACTTAATTCAATGAGCAGCATAGACTAAACAAGGTTTCTGGACAAAAGAATGCCATGATAAATGCTGTGTGCTTTAGAAAGAAAAAAATTTGCTATTGAATGCAATTAATGGATTGAAACATGAAATACTAGAGGCAAAAAAAATTACATAAAAGGTATTATAACAATCCAGGCATTACAAATTAGAACTGAAACTTAGTATAAAATAGGCATAGATAGCAAGATTCAAGATGAATTTACAGAGTGAACTTCAAACCTTGATAAATTAAATGGACAAGGGAAGTTTAACTGATACTGTAAGCCTGTGTGAATATTATTTTAAGACAAAATACTAACTTTAGAAGGATAATTGTCAGAAAAGGTGAGATCAAGCTAAAAATACAGTGATAAGAACATACAAAATCATGTATAAAATTATTGTGCTCATATATGTAAAACAACTTTTTGAAAAACAGAGGGCTAAGGGTATTAACAATATTATGAAAACATTAAATTTAATTCCATTTTACCACTCTTCTAGTTCAGTGTTTATAGTCAAATATCATTAAGGTTTACTGTAGGTTTGGTGAAGTAAAATAAGTGACACCTACCTTACAGTGCTGTACATTGGATGTGTTTGGAAAATCACTATAAAAAGATTGACAAAATTTAAGAAGCAATTAAATGTCAGCATATTTCCCACAAAAGCCATTTTATATAAGGTGAGACACTTGGGTCACTAAATCTATATTCAATGTGCTGTAAGTAACAGAAATGTGACAATACTATAGTTAGGCTGATATTTTTGCAACTTCACTTATGCTAAATAGCATCTATGATAGCTATTTTTAAGTTCTATTATTAATGCAGGAGGATATGCCAAACAACAGAAGATGAATGGTTCTGTCATGAGAGTCATTTTTTCATGGCGTAAGGTTAGAATTCATTTCTATTTGACTACATTTTTAATCAGAATTAATGCTAAGATTACAGATAAGCATTATTTAACTTATAACTCATTTCATTTAAATTTCATGTTTTATTACATAGATTTAAATACATTTACTCATAGATTTAATACAATTCTAAAAATGCCTATATCCTAAAAATTTTTGAAACAATGTTTTATCAATAAGGTGTTTGTAACACTTTATAAAATGTAATCAGACATTAGAATAGCAAATTTCAAATTTAGTTTCCTTTCTATTTTATTTAAATAGCTACTATTCATAAAATAATAAGTAACTGTTTTCTACTGGGAAGTTACATTATTTGAATGTATTTAAAACCTTTAATTTTGTTTCTATTTTTAACTGACAAAAATTGTACATAACCTCTTAAAAACTGTATAATACTTTAGCTGTGTATGTCAAATAACATGTCTAAAATTTATGAACATACCTGTCAGTCAATGACTCCTTTAATTTTCTTGAGGACCTTATGTCATCTTTAGGTTTATATTTCTTATTAATTTGGCTTATTAAGGATTCTGCTGCATCGGTAAATCCTTTCCCTTTTGACTTTCCTCTCTGAAATAATTTAGTTACATTAAAATTCTACCAGTTAACCTTCAAAGGAAAATAAAGACTGAAAATAAATTTAAAAAAATCTGGCTGTATTTACACTTTGAAAAATAATCAGAAATTAATGTTTGATTTTGTACCACAATAAAACACAAGTCTTTTAACAGACACAACTGTCCGGATTGATCTGTAGAATTTTTAAGTTTCTGTACATAAGAAAAAAAATGCCAGTTCTTAGGAAAATGGAGATATCACTATTAACATGGATATTAAAAAGAAAGGAATATTATGAACCTTCCCTGTCCACGATTTGATAACCTAAATGAAATGGATCAATTCTTTGAAAGATACAATACCAAAGATCATTTAAAGGGAAATAAGATTATCCCAACAGGCTTTTCTCTACTAAAGAAATTGAATCTACAAATAATCTCCCAAAGCACAAGGTACCAGGCCCAGATGGGCTTACTGGTGAATTCTACCCAACATTTAAGGAAGAAATTACACCAATTCACCACAATCTTCTTGAAGATAGAAATGGGGGAAATATTCATCCAATAAAGCCAATATCACCCTAGTGACATAACCAAAGATATGACCAGAAAAAAAAATACTGCAGACCATTCTTTCGCATGAACACAGATGAAATGAAATGAAAGAGGTCAATATGAAAAGGCTGTTTACTGTATGATTCCAATTACATAGCATCCTGGAAAAACCAGAACTAAAAAAGATAAATGTCAGGAGTTTTGTGGGAGGGATCCATAGGTAGAACACAGGGGAAGTTTAGGGAAGTAAAACTATTCTGTATTATACTGTAATAGTGGATTTGTGTACTGTGTTATTTGTCACAACACAGAATATACAACACAGAGTGAACTGTAATGTAAACTATGAACTTCAGAGTAGTTTGTCAATTTTAACAAAGACAACACACTAATTCAAGATGTTAATAAGGGAAACACTTTGCACTCAAACCGGAAACTGCTCTAAGGACTAGTCTTAACTTTTTTAAATGTAAAGATTACAAAATAATAATTATTGGCACGTCACACAATGTAGTTTTTAAAAATTCCAACAGTATCCTGAATTGATATATTTTTCTGGATATCAGAATTATGTAAGTTTTAGGTTGTAGTAAAACAGATATAGCATAAAGTTTACTACTTGAAACATTTTAAGTTAGTGTTTTTATATATAATAGGTAGTAGACTATCCCTTCTTGAGATTATCAAGGTAAAGACATTAAGACTGGGTTTACATGGCTTGATAAAAATGTAACAAAAATGAACGTCTGATACTAGTATGATTTCAGAACGTCCATTATAACTGGATCCAGCCTGGGAAATTCCTATCACTGAGCTACAGGGATTCTATTGCTCTAGGATGATGCAGTAAATATAAGGAAAGAATAAGACAGATAACCACGTTATAGAACAATGATCCAAGGAATTGGTTGGACATCCTGTGTAATGATATAGGAAGTGACCCTATGAAATTGTTCTGAAGAGAACTTCTGAAAACAGGAAGCTGATTTTTTTTTTTTTGACAGGCAGAGTGGACAGTGAGAGAGTGAGAGAGTGAGAGAGTCAGAGAGAGAGTGAGAGTGAGTGAGTGAGAGAGAGAGAGAGAGAAAGGTCTTCCTTTGCCATTGGTTCACCCTCCAATGGCCGCCGTGGCCGGGGCGCTGCAGCCGGCGCACCGCACTGATCTGAAGTCAGGAGCCAGGTGCTTCTCCTGGTCTCCCATGGGGTGCAGGGCCCAAGCACTTGGGCCATCCTCCACTGCACTCCCTGGCCACAGCAGAGAGCTGGCCTGGAAGAGGAGCAACTGGGACAGAACCCGGCGCCCTGACCGGGACTAGAACCCGGTGTGCCAGCGCCGCAAGGTGGAGGATTAGCCTACTGAGCTGCGGCGCCAGCCTAAAAAAACTTTTTAAAGGAGGCTTGTCAAAACAAATAATGTTCAATTATGTATAATAATTACAAGTTTTCTATTAAATATTTGTACGTTGACATGGTTTAATGCACAATCATTTTAGCTTACTCTAGTAATTTGGCTATCCATGTGTTAACAACATTGCAGAACATAAAGGAATATAAGAGCCTAAACCTGGGATTATTTTTGAAACAGCAAAAGAAAATTACATTATTGGAAGTGGAAATGTATTCTGATTAAACTTTTGTTATTCACATCTTGATAGCAATGACAAAAAGACTGATAGCTATTACAACAATAACCTGTTTAGTACAAGTGTGATGCCGAGTACTACAACAGTCTTGGAGACATTCCACAGCACTGGTTCATCTGCAGAGCGATGGCTCCAATAAGGAAGAACAGCTACACGTTGACTCTTCCACCCCACTTACATGCTTTCTTGAAAAACCCTCCCAAGGTTTAATGCATTCATCCAAGAAATGTTTGAGATTCTACTTTGTGTAATAAAGTTATGCCAGGACATGCAGAAAACAAATGTTGAATAAAACATAGTCCTTACTTTCTTAATAGGTTACTATTACAGAGGGAAAAATTACACAAAAATAATCATTTAGGGGCTGGTGCGTGGCATAGCAGGCTAAGTCTCCACAGACGCTGGCATCCCACATGGGTGCCAGCTCACGTCCCAGCTGCTCTTCTGAGCCAGCTGCCTGTTGCCTAGGAAAGCAGAAGATGGCCAAGTGCTCAGGCCCCTGCACTCATGTGGGAGACCTGAAAGAAGCTCCTGGCTTCAGATGCACTCAGCTCTGGCTGTTGTGGCCATTAGGGGAGTGAACCAGCGGATCAAAGACCCTTCTGTATCTCCCTCTGTCTGCAACTCTACCTCTCAAATAAGTAAAAATCTTTTTAAAAAAATAATCATTTATAAAAGAAAGGTAAGAACTAAATCTATAAGCATATTCAAAATGAAAAAGTGACAGGAATACAAGAAAAGGAGACAGGAACTATAATATTCATTTATTTTATAGTCACTTGCCTAGTATATGCCAAGCGCTGTTCTATTAGGGCTGGGATTAGGGAGGTTTGGTAATGGAGGTATTTAAGGAGGAACACAATTTCAGAGCCTAGGCACTGAACTAAAGAACAGCGTATTAGGCATGTTACCTTTGTAGCAATCAATCAAGGCTCTTTTTTTAATGTTATCAGGTAAACAACAAATAGGTATGCAGAAGTCAAAACTGAATGCTCACCATTTTTTGTTTCAAATCCAAGGAATCTAGATCACAAGTCAATTCTTTCCCCGATCTTTGACTTTTCAAATTTTTTCTAGTAGAAGGGCTTTTATCACAAATAGCAGTATTCACATCTTTAGACAATGTATATTTCTTCCTATAAATCAAAGATTCTTCAACTGTCTTATTTAGGAGAACTGATTTAAAAGTAGTTGCAGATTCAATATGCCAGTCACCCTGTTTTGTACTTTCAGTACTTTTCTGCTCTGAATGTTTAGGATGATTTTGTTGATTGTTTCTTTTGCAAACCTCCACTTCTACTTTATCTGTTTTGTTATGTTCCATAATACCTTTCTTACATTTCACTTTTTCTGTTTCTTCAGAATTATCAGATATTGAAGAGGATGATTTTTGTTTAGGAAATGTTTCATCAATGATTCCTAGTAAGAGAATAAGCAATGATTATTAAATTAATACAATGTAAAGTATAAAAATCATTAAAACAATGTAAATGTGAGTTTGTTAAAAATTTATTAAAATAAAAATTAGACATTTAATTGGTTAATATTTCCAGAAAGTACTATCACAGAGATAAAACTATGTTTTACCTTCATTAAATTTGTTTCCTGATGAAATACTTGCTCTTTGGTTATTACAGAGTTTAATATTTGTTACAGGTGTCCAACACGGCAATTTGGAGAACATCTTATTTCTATAGATGTTGTCTGAAACACCACGTAATCTATAAAATGAATTCATTTGATTATAAAATGTTATCATAAGACTAAAACCTTGGGGCTGGCGCTGTTGCACAGTGGGTTAACATTCTGGCCTGAAGCGGCTGGCATTCCATATGGGTGCTGGTTCAAGACCCAGCTGCTCTACTTCCCATCCAGCTCTCTACTATGGCCTGGGAAAGCAGAAGATGACCCAAGGCCTTGGGCCCCTGCACCTGCGTGGGAGACTTGGAGCAGGTTCCTGGCTCCTGGCTTTGGATTGGCGCAGCTCCGGCCATTGCAGCCAATTGGAGAGTGAACCATCGGATGGAAGACCTCTCTCTCTCCTCTCCTCTGTGTAACTCTGACTTTCAAATAAATAAATAATATTTTTTAAAAAAGGACTTAAAACCTTGGTTTTTGTATTTAGTCAATGTTTAAAACAATCTGTTAACAAATATGGAAATACTTTGTAAGTCATGATAAAGACTAAAATTATATAATCAGATTAAATAATAGAGAAATAGTACCACTACTGCTACTGCTTTGATATCTACCTAAATATATCTTACATACTTGCATATTTAAATTTTTTCTATTTATATATTACCACCTGAAAAAGAAAATCTCATTCATTTTAACTCTCTCAAAGAGTTATATTGATTGATATAGAAAAAATATAGACATTTCCCTTTATATTCTCATAATATGAGAGATAATTAATGGTACAATACTATCTAATAATACATAGGCCTTTTCCTCCAAATCTGTCATATTCACCTAAAAATAGCATTAATACATGTTAAAAGATTTAATAGGTCTCCTCATACTTACACAGACTTCTCTCTTTTTCCCACTGGCTGTGAATCAGGAACAACATCCTGGAGCTCATCTAAATAAAGCAGAACTTTTGGTATTTTCATATTTCCATAAATTGGCAAAGTGAAATGGAGGTTAGCATATAATTCTATAAAGGTTCACATTTTGGGATGAAGAGATTGACTTTGCCTACCCACTTCTCAGACGCAAATTTATTGGAAAACAAAAATAGTATGTGTTCTTCGTTTTACAAAGTCAAAACACGTTCACTATAAATCTTTTTCAAACCAATGAAAGTTAATGGGGTGAGAGAAATATATAGAAAAATACTGTATGTATATTTAAAAAATGACTAAGATTAAACCAGTAAGTACTTACTAAAATTTTGCTCTGGGAATTCAATATCCTTATTTTCCGTCCTTTCTACAGTTATAGTTTTGATAAGCTATAAACACAGGAAATATGTTAATGTAAATTCGAATTAAGGCATTATATGAAAGCAACTTTTAAAAGAGCATTAAGGTTTAACTGTTTTAAAGTAAGTTTGACTTGCAATGAAAAGTTGGATAGTATTTATATCTAGTTAATAAATATTGTGCCCAAACCAGAATACTATTTATCCAAAGTTGCAAGAGAATAACATTCATTGTAGACATGGAGACAGAAGGTCTCATGAGTTTTCTGAATCCATCCATAGCTAGCATAACAATTCAATTTTCACTTGAATTGATAAATTCTAACCTTTTATGATACATCTTGCTATTGATCTCATCTATCTTTTTTCACTGAGGTACATAGAAGACTTGGAAATCACGCAATATTCAATTATTTTTACATTTTTGGCCATTGCCTAGGTAACTTCTTGCCTACAACAAGTTTTCTTCCTACAGCTACAGACACACATTTACTTCAGGTTAAATAAAAATCATCTATTACTATCAGAAAAATATACCATCTAGACTAAGATATTTTGTCTCACTCTTTTTCCTATTTGTTCTAGCCAGTGGTCCTCTACACTGGGAGGTGAGCAATTATGAAGTATGCAGATATGTTTTTGGTGGTCACAATGACAAAGGGGTTCTACAATATTCAGGACTATGCCACACAACTGAAAATCAGTACTCTTATTAAGATACACTTAGCTAGATAATTTGAATCACAACTTTGACTTTGTTTTCCTAATATCTTAAGTTTTTACCTTTCATTTTTCTGCTACATACCTTTTTAAATTAAAAAAAATTTTTTTCCTGTATCATGAAGGCTACTAAGCTTTGAGAAAATTGTAATATTCATGAACTGATGCCATGACAAAATTCAGCCTTAAACTGGGCTCCAAATTGACTAACATTGGTACATAGTCTTATTCTTCTCCATTACCTCTCAATAGCTATTCCAAATCTTCACATGTCCCTTAGTCCCTGCTATAACAGATCTCCATGATAAACTCACCATTTTCACACTCCAAACAAAAGATGTTTTTGTTATTTCCTGTTCTGTCTCTTCAACTATCAGAAGTGTTTTACAACCTGAAACAAACCTACTTCATCTCAATATCCATCTGACTTTTACGGAGCTTTCAAAAATCAACTCTCCCTAAATCTCCTGAAATACGTATCTTAATCTTTACTCTCCCTTCTATCTATGGAACTGGGCATCTACCCCTCCATTGGGTTCCAACCATATCCTGTATGTATATCTTAGAAGGTTACTTTGTATTGTAATTATTTTAGTAATCTGTCTAATCTCATGCTAGACTTCGAAGTCTTTAAGGACAGAATGCACTTGGATTTCACATTTTTACATCTACCAGAACCTTCCCTATAGTAGAAGACATTAATTTTAATAATAAAGAATGATGGCAAGTTTACTTTTCCTACCAAATATTAGTTATAGTGAATGGATGTTTATAACTTTCATTGTAATCACAGGAAATGAGTCATATGTCACAGGGACCCGACTTTCAAGAACAATAAGTGGTATCTAGGAAAATAACAATGAGTTAAGGCAAGACACTGCTTGCAAAAGAAGTTAGCTTAATATCTATTTTTACAATAACTTGATAAAAATTATTTAAAAATATTTTCAAAGTAAAGTTACTTTGTCTTTGTTATCTCCTCTATTTCTTCCTTCAGATGGTCTGGATTTGGGTGATACAGCATTATCCACTTCATTTTCTGCTGTTTTAGAAATACCAGATTTTTCTGCAGAACTCATCATTTGCAGTGGTGGCTTAGATCTTCCTCTTTGTGGTGCTGTTGAAAAGCACAAAGATCTACATTTTTTTTTATTTTGGCAGAAAGTTAGACAGTGAGAGAGGGAGAGAGAGAAAGGTCCTCCCTCTGTTGGTTCACCCCGCAAATGGCCGCTATGGCCGGAGCTACGCTGATCCGAAGCCAGGAGCCAGGTGCTTCCTCCTGGTCTCCCATGTGGGTGCAGGGCCCAAGCACTTGGGCCATCCTCCACTGCACTCCCGGGCCACAGCAGAGAGCTGGACAGGAAGAGGAGTAACTGGGACTAGGACCTGGTGCCCATATGGGATGCTGGCGCCGCAGGCGGAGGATTAACCTAGGGAGCCACGTCACCAGCCCTACTACATGTTTTTAACACATTTCTATTACTGAGGTACTTTTCAGATAAAAAGATAAGAAAGGAAGGCTCCAGGAAAGTTCCCAGGTTTCTTTCTTAGATGAACTGGTGGAATCCGAAGCCATTTACCTAGATAAGAATTGCTGGAAAACCAGCAGAGGGTATAAAGATGAATGTAATTCCGGACCTATGTTAAGTCTGAGGAGCCTGTGAAACATTAGGCAGTTGTCTAGCAAGAAACTGGACTTTTGGAACGTAAGGACTCGGACTTTACACAATGCCAATTTTTAAAAATTTTAATTTAGCCGTTAGTATGCACTGTCTAAATGTTTCAAAAGATTTTGTCAAATTAAAGATTTTTATTTTATCTTCCAACAACTTAATGAGTCTGTTTGATTTCATATTATGGGACAGAAAATGGTTCTAAACTTAGCTAGATGATAATCTATACAAATTGTAAGCCCAAGAGTGAAGAACTAAGCCCGAGTGGACTGATTCCATGTTTTACTGTTATTTTGTTTATTGTTAAATTGTATAAATTATTAATGTTGGATTCTAGTATTTTGGCAACTGTTTATACATTTCAATTTTTTTTTACATCCCCCAATCATCAGGTAGGTAAATTAGGTCCAGAATGTTTCCTGAATTAAAAATAAAAATGCCTCCTTTAAAAGATAACACTATTAGAAATCTTTAAAAATTGTAAAACTTACATGTGTTGATTAAAAGTATTGGACTCCTCACAGTGTATCTGTCTGCACCAGGAACAATCATTGATGCTTCAGACATTTTTTTTTTGGTAGGAGTAATTATCTTCAACCATAAGAAAAAAACCCACAGTCAACAAAGATCCTTTTTAGAAATTCAACAACTTACATTTTTACTCATGACATTTTGCCTTGACTACATGCAAAATATGAAGTTTTTTTCTTAAACATGATACACAGAAATTTCTGTGTTTTAGCTTGATTAAAGGGCTTCACCTTCAGTTTTATATTCAACGAGTAGCCAAAGCACGTGAAAAGAACTGCTTTAAAGAATTTACAGCATATCTCGAGTTATGCAATATGGCTAGCTGAAGATAGTATCATCTAGGTAACTGATATTACAGAGAATAATTTTGTCAGAGTACTATAAAGAAGCAGACAGTGACATACTGGATAAAGATACAGAGGAACGGTTTTTAAAATAAAAGCACCTACCTCTGATAGACAAACTGAGGACACTGAATAGGTTTGTATGGGGAGATCATATGGAGGATAGAAGAAAAGGGATAACCAGAAATCAGGCTTCTAAATTAGATTTTTCCTAAAGAAATTACAGTTCTTACTGATACAGTCAACAGAACTTGAAAAGTAACTTATTCATATTAATGCCTCTAATAGTTAATCCTTAGTGAAATCATAGTTGTCATTCAATAGTAGTGTGGTTTTTTTGCATACTTTACTGTGCTTAAGACCTTCTCCACTATTTTTTTTAAGATTTATTTATTTGAAAGAGTTACACAGAGAAAAGGAGAA